TAAATGTCCATATAACCACTCTGAAGATGGCTCATGTTAGTCGAAAGCTTAGATCAATTAACAGCTTAATAGAAAATATATCCAAATGTTGGACAATTTTTGTCTTTATTTTCACCCAAAATTAAAGCAAATATACGGAGTCATGATCAAACATAATAGACATTCATTGTCTGTTATATTAAACAATATGTTTGAATAATGATCTGCTGCCCAAGATATATATATATATGTGTGTGTGTGTGTGTGTGTGTGCGTGTGTGTATGTATTTGTGCATTTAGGCAGCAAATACTCTTTTAGTTATGTCTGATTGAATAAAATATATGTTTGTAAATTTTAAAAAAATCCGTTCATATTCACGAATAACCTTCCGTGTATTGATATTAAAGCACGAGAGAAATGTGTTATAGCTGTTTAAATATCTTTTATTTTTATTTCCCAAGTACTTTCGATCTTTTACCAAGATCATCTTCAGGGGTGCAAGCAATACAAAGCTATATGTTGTTCATTAATATAAGTATTTATACAAAGTTTATCGATTATATGACAATTTCGTACAGCATGAAAATCCATGTTGTACATTTTGTATATATATATATATATATATATATATATATATATATATATATATATATATATATATATATATATATATAGTGCAAGTGCGTCCGTTTAGTTAAATAAGCGTAGTTAAGTTAAATTCAGAAGACTTAGCATTAGGTCAATTGCTAAGTCTACCGTCAAGTAGTAAGCCGTGTATTTCACTTCTTACCTACGAGTTTATCTTCCTTATTTATTTCCCTTCGTTATCTCGAAAATACGAGATACAACAAATTAAGACCTTAATCTCTTGTTAATTACTTATTTATTTTTTTCAATATACCTAATAATTATTTTGATATTAGGTTCATGTTTGAAAATATAGTTTTATGGTCTAAGTATTTTCGTCTAGCATGAGCCATTATGAAAGATTTTATCAAAGAGCTAACATAAATTATATGACTACAAGATTAGCCAGATGCTTGATCCATAAACAGCACACTTCAGATATTTGACTGATCCATTGTCTTGCCAATGTATCGAGTGAACAGAAGCAGGTTGTCAATGATGCGTGATTACTAAGCATTAAGACTGCCGCTAATCAAAAGCAGATTATTAGTCCGAGGAACGAGAGGGTTGTGTAGTATAATATATTTCTTTCTAAATATGAATCCCACTGACAAGAATGTATGAACTTTTGTTTCTGTTACAATCTATTGGTTTATTGACAATGCATTTATGGCAGTTACTGTTTGCAGTTAATTAATCAAAATTGACATTCTCTTTCTGCTATTACGATATACTTTTCATTTGTCTAGGTTTTTCGGAATTCGTTGATAAAATCAAGCCATTTTCAGGCAGGGAGGAACGGTGCAACTCATGAAAATACTGGAAAAAATACATTCTCAAAATATTTATAATTTAAAACTACTTAAAAGTGGAATGAGATTATTGGAAAACTATAAGAAAAATTAAACAGACTCTTACTTCTCTTTAGTTAAATTAGTTTGGATGAATACTTGCTTGGTGCCTAGAACTAATGCTTTTAATTTATTTGCAAAAAATAAAATTAGGGGTTTTTAGCTTCTATTTTTTGAAACATGGTTGGAACTGTGTAGCAAAAAATAACCATATTTTAAATCAATTAATTTATAATACATATATATATATATATATATATATATATATATATATATATATATATATATATATATATATATATAATGGCCTAACGATTGCATCTAGCATGAAACAGACTGACGCCTGTGTGTGTGTGACTTCTATGTACCACTTTTATCTTTTATATTTACACACGCTCTATCTCTGATATTGAGCACTTTATCCCATAAATATAGCACATCTTAAGACTATATTTCTTCATATATATATATATATATATATATATATATATATATATATATATATATATATATATATGTAAATCACTCGATGGGTGAAAACGTGGGTAGCACAATTCTCCAAAAAATTGCCATCCGAGGAAAAAGATTTTTGGAATAAAAAAAAGAAGCCACCGAACAGGACGACAGAAATCGTCAAGTACCTTAAATTTCTGGTACAAAGAAAAAAAAAACCCAACGAGTAATAAATTAAAATGAAGCAGAGCAAAGGTAAAATAAATAAATAAATTCTAATGAGCCAGATCCCATGTGGTGAAACCTAGGTAGGTAATACCTGGGTCATTAGGATTAATTTTATTATATCTATCTATCGATCTATCTAATATATATATATATATATATATATATATATATATATATAAAAGTCATTTTTTATGTTTATCAGTTCATTTTATAGATACAAATATTTTCTCATGTGTATACGTTCTTTTTATAGATAAAAATATTTAAATAAATGCTCTGTTTATAATAAACAGTATTAACAACATTTACCGGCCTGAATGTTCGAGAAATTTTCATAGAAAATATGCGTCCTCCGACAGGAATATATTATTATTAAAAGGCCAGACTGTGCCCTTAACTTAAGCAAGGACTCTTTTACCATCTTGAGTCGTGCTCGCTCGCTATTACTGTTGAAGATGTAAATAATTCACATCCGGTCCAGAGGTTACATCTGTTAGGACTTGACGTAATTTCAATTTAGATTGTATTTCTCCTTTAATATTTCATAATATTTTGTGTTTTATTGTCATGGGTCCTTACCTATAACTACAAAATGAACTCTTCCTAACACTATGTATACTACGCCTCTCAAGAGAGAGGGTCAAATCGAGTCGAGCTGATAGTAGTTCACTCCAAACCAGACTGACAGTCATACTAACACCTTCCACATCTTGTATTATTATTTCGTGTAATATACCTTCGTTATTTCTACTCTTGTGTTCGTGTTGTTCTTCCTTGGTCCTAACCTGGGCCATAACATTTATAATTTGTATAACGATATATGATCCCTCGATTCCATCTCTGTTGAATGAGGGCTGTGTTCGTTTTATTATTTATGTTTATAAAATTTCTTTTTTAACATAAATAGTAAATGAATATATATATATATATATATATATATATATATATATATATATATATATATATATATATATATTGTTGGAGGTACAAAACCATAATATTGCAAGGAATAAATATGAATTATTTCTTAAAGGCATTATGGAAACAAAATAAAAAAATAAGAGATGATAACACTCACAAAGCAGACCAACCGGTTTCGTTCCCAAGCTCATCAGGGTCGACTGGGAACTATTTCACAATTATTGCAATATAAATTAACTCACACACAAACCCTACATACAATTAAAACTTTAAAAAATGAAAAGATTAATGGTATGAAGGGAAAAAAAAAATTTAAATAAGTAAATATTATATATATATATCTTTTTTAAACTGTGCAAGTATGCACAATAAACGGGGGAGAAAAAAAAAGAAAAAAAATATATATATAACGGAGTGTGAGGGGGGAAATTATGATAAACACTAGAGTGTAATAACGTGAAGCCCAAGGAGACAGTCTCTTTGCTTACATAAAGATGGCTCCCTGGACCGAATATACAGAGACTCTAGTGCTCTCAAATGGAATGGAGAGTGCGAACTGGATAGTACAGTAAACCAATTCGGACTAAAGTTCTTCGCACAATCCCTGCAATTTATTAAGTGCCCCGTGATCGCTGAACCGGAAGTATTAACCAACTGGCTCTTACATATATATATATAAATATATATATGTGTGTGTGTGTGTATACGTGTACGTATGTGTACGTATGTATGTAATTTTCCATCGATAAAACTAATAGTACCTGAAGATACACTTTTCAGGAGCAAAGCGCTTGACGTCGGAGTTTTTTTTTTTTAATTTTGGCATTCAATTACCTACCATTAGTCTGACATACGGATTAGTTATATAATATTTTCCATGTAGACAGATATAGATATATATATAGTGGCAAAAAGCGAAAAAGTAACAAGAAACAAAAAAATGTCTGCAATTCTTAACCGAGAAAAGCGTTACTAAAATATGCCAGTTCTTTGATAGACTTGCATGTTTAATTTCGACTTGGGAATCGAGTCAGGCTGATTCCTTTTCAGAAATCGATTAAACATTTTTATCGATTACGCCGCAGAACGGATGCCAAATTATTTTACATCGGTAGGAACCAGCATTTCATTACATTTTTGTCAAAGACTGCATTTAATCTCCTTTTTCTTCATAATGGAACATAACTCTTTTAATGATCAAGACGTGTGGACTTTTGGCGAGGAGTTTTGTGGCTGTCTAGCGATGTGCCTAATAAAAACGATGCGGTTGGGGGTTTAATAATCAGATGTCTATCTATCTCACTCTATTCATATCTATCTATCTATCTATCTATCTATCTATCTATCTATCTATCTGTAAATGTATCTACGTCATATTATTTATATCTATCTATCTATCTATCTATCTATCTATCTATCTATCTATCTATCTATCTGTAAATGTATCTACGTCATATTATTTATATCTATCTATCTATCTATCTATCTATCTATCTATCTATCTATCTATCTATCTGTAAATGTATCTACGTCATACTATTTCTATTTATTTATCTGTCTGTCTATCTGTAAATGTATTTACGTCATACTATTTATATCTATCTATCTATCTATCTATCTATCTATCTATCTGTAAATGTATCTACGTCATACTATTTCTATCTATCTATCTATCTATCAATCTATCTATCTATCTATCTGTTCATATGTATCTCTCTATCAGTCTGTTCATATCTGTCTGTCTATCTATCAATCTATGTCATTCTAATTCTATCTATCTATCTATCTATCTATGTTCATATTTATCTCACTCTGTTCATATCTATCTATCTATCTATCTATCTATCTATCTATCTATCTATCTATCTATCTATCTATCTATCTATATGTATCTCCCTATAAGTCTGTTCATATCTGTCTGTCTATCTTTCAATATATCTATGTCATTCTACTTTTATCTATCTATCTATCTCACTCTGTTCATATTTCTCTCACTCTATTCGTATCTATCTATCTATCTATCTATCTATCTATCTATCTATCTATCTGTCTCACAATTTTATGTGATCCGTTTTTGTATCAGCTTTTTCTAGTCTCTAAATGCTGTACATTTATTTCGTTTCTTCTCAGTGATTAGAAATTTTGTCGAAATTATCAATTTTTTTTTACAAAATATATTTAATTATTTATCATATCATTTTTTTTTATTTCATGTTTATGAATTCATAACTTTTCAAAAGGTCATTGTTCTATGTGCCACGCTCCCACCCCCTTCATCATTTATGCCTCTCTACAACACGCAGTCTTTTGTTTATATAGCTTTTGACTCTTTTTGACTATGCCGGCTGGCCCGTGTTTTACAATCCCTTCACTCGAAATCGTTTCGTGTTACCCGCTGATTTACTCTGGTTCATTTCTCTTCATTATGCCCTGCTAGAGGTAAATTCACCGTGACGTCATACCGTGTCCCTGAATTTTCAGCTCTTCTTGAACACATGTTTATATTTCCTTGTAGCTATTATTCTTAAATCTTTCTTATCGCTCGCACTTTCTGTCCATGTTATTTCCAAAGATATTAGCGATAGAACCAGTTTCAGAATGCGTTCTCGGCCACATGTCCACATTTTATCTTACTTATTATAAAACGCAGATTGTGTGTGTGTGTGTGTGTGTGTGTACGTTTATATATTGGATCGGATTTCATACATTTTTCAACCGATTTCAACAAAACTTAACAGGACTGCGTAAAAGAATCTTTGTCAATTATATTATTCAGTCTTTATGATGGTCGATACTTGATCTATCTCTTACTGTTACATCTCCGGGCAACGCCAGGCTCTACTGTATATATATATATATATATATATATATATATATATATATATATATATATATATATATATATATATATATATAGCTGCAGGTGTTCGAATTCCAGTCGAATCAATTACATTGACTTACATGCTAATACCCTTGGGGAAGGTATGAATCCATTTTCCCCACCTCAGCTATGGGTAAATAGCAGGACAGACCGGGTTCTATAGCTTTAGATGCCAACTGGTCTAACGCAGAAAGAAACGACAACCTACTCCGGGAAAAAAATCCGCCTTGTCAGTCATGTATTGAAAGATACATGGTCGACTAAGCGTGTATCACGCATGGCACATAACTGACTGACCCTTGGGAAAAGTATGAATTCTCTTCTTCTCCCCCCAGCTATGGGTAAATAGCAAGATAGACCGGATTCTATAGCCTTAGATAGCAACTGATCTGCCGCTGAAAGATATTGCAACCTACTGCGGGGAAAAAATTCTGCCTCGTTAGTCATGTATCAAAAAATACATGGTCGCCTACGTGTGTATCACGCATGACACATAATTAACTGGCTGAGCTGTAGATGGGATAACGAAAAATAAGAAGATGGAGATCACATATATGTATCGATGACTCTCCAAAAAGAGCATCACCGATGTTGTAGAATAAGACACAGCGTACTTTCTGCTCTTCCCTACAACTGTGACAATAGACTGATCCTACTTATTGATATAGCAAGTAGCCACATAAAAATGGAATTTGAGGAGTAATTGATCTACTAATGTCTTTCTTTCCTATGCCTGAGTATTTAATAAAAGTCTTATTTGTTTTCCTTACCGAATCTTCCGTTTCTTCGATACTCTCTAATTACGGCCATTCTCGGCCATTTTGAACAAAAACTGTATTACAACATTGCATATATTAGAATGATAAATACACACATAACATATTTGAATGCAAATTTGCGTATTAAATGTGTCTATTTCTTTTTTTGCATACTCAAGACTTCTTGCTATGCACGTCATTTTTCGTGGCTGCAAGTGTTTAAGTTCACGTTTCTGTTTTTTTTTTTAATTTTCATCTTAAACAGTGGAAGAACAATGTCTCTCCCGACAGGAATCGAAATTTCTATTACCGTTTTCCAAAAAAGAAATTTCTATAGCCGTAGTATTTCGCTTACAAGTTAGGCTACGGGAAAAGGTTATAATAAGACAAGAATCAATTATATGAGTGGTTAATACACACACACACACACACACACACACACACATATATATATATTTATATCTGAAATATAGAAATACAGACATATACATGCACACACACACACACACACACACACACACATATATATATATATATTTAAAAGAAAAACAGACCACTTAAAGATTCCATTACAATAATTTATTTCACCAGTGTCCTTTTAAATGACGCCGTATCATTTTATTATTATGACATTAATTTTATTTTTTATTATATTCTTACTTTGTTCTGGACATTTAGTTCTACCTGGATTCTATCCTCTTGGAATTTATATATATATATATATATATATATATATATATATATATATATATATATATATATGTAAATTAGTTCCGGATTTTATCCTCTTGAATTTATATATATATATATATATATATATATATATATATATATATATATATATATATATATATGTAATTAGTTCAGATTTTATCCTCTTGGAATTTATATATATATATATATATATATATATAGATAAATTCAAGAAGATAGAATCCAGGTACAACTAAATGTCAGGACAGGTAAGAATATAATAAAAAAGGCTTAAACATTAATATGCCTTTTTATTTTTTTAATAAGCTTAATATTCCATGGTTATAATTTATTACATTGGTATCGCCCATAGAATATTAGTGTTTAAGCATTTTTATTACACACACACACACACACACACACACACACACACACACACACACACACACACACACACACATATATATATATATATATATATGTATGTGTGTGGCAAAGTATACACACTTTAACAGCTGTTAGCGTAATTGATATTTTTCTTCACAGGTTAAAACCATTAGAATTAATGATGGAAGTCAAGCTAAGCTTTGAACTATCGAAATTAATTCTTTAAATGCTTCTGGAATTGTGAAATAGTAGTTGAATCGCAAAGAGAGATTAGTGCAGAGTTTCAAACAGATCAGCCAACGCGACTTACCATATCTCGAATGAGCGGTAGGTTTGAAGCCAATGGAACTGATCAGAATGTCCAGGGGAAGCCTTCCAGAAGACCACGGACATCGACAAGCCCCACGAAGCAAGAAAGAATCCCGCTCCAGGATATTAGTGACGATAATCCCAGACAGAAGAGTCGAGTTAGATCCTACCTGGACGAGCTCTTGCCAAACAGGTAGATTGGACGAAGGTGTTTCGTAGTATACCCTCCGCGTTCACAACTTCACACCATTAGACTTTTTATGGGGATACTTAAAGACAGACTCTATGCTATGAGGCCTGCAACAGTCGCTCAATTGAGAGCAGCAACTGAACAAGAATGTACAAAAATACCAAACGAAATGTTTGGTAATCTTTGTAATTCCATTGTTGTCAGAAGTGCCTGAACCAGAATGGACGTCAGTTTGAAAACAGTCCTTGAGAAAACAATAAAATAATGTCTGTAGATTCTATTAAATTTTGAAAATGAAATGTATTCTAATAAACACTGATTTTATAATTATTTAAAATGTGTAGACATTTAGTGGGGCCCTGTGTCTATGGTTTTTGGTAACTGTTAAATTCGTAACTTTTTTTTCAAATTCCTAACATTTCAAATAATACCCCGACTATCACAGAAATACTATATTTCTCCTTGAAACTGACTGAGACACGTCGAAGGTCTCTGGGCAAAACAATAACACAATATAAATTACGAAGTTTATTCAAAATTTTGATCCAGACGAAAAAATACGTTCTTCGAAAGCTGCAAAAATATTATAGAAACTTAAAGAGAGACCTTGTCGGATATTTTCATTGAAATTATTTCGTTAAAAATTAATGTATACCTTCCACAATCATTGAAACGCTGATGTATACAGTTTACAAACTAGTATATTTTTAAAAAGATGCGTAAGGCACATAATGAAATCTTCACAGAAAAGTAAAAAATAGAAGTTCTTATTTCCTCGTGGAACAAGTTCAAGAAATATGTGAATTTTCCGACAAGACACAAAATGGTAGATAACTTGACAAAAGAAAAAAAAATCCATATTAATCTATTTGTTCACATTTGCATCTGTTTTGGGCAGTACTTGACGTGCGTGTTTCTCCATTTGTTTGCCTTACAGAGTAACTTGAATAGCAGTGATCAAGAGGATTTTCACACCGATATCTCCACCTTAGTTACCACTACCCAACGGTTCTTTGTTCTGCCCTTGAGCTATCGGCATCGGATTCGAAATGGACTTTAGAGAGAGAAATGAAGGTTGACCATAAAAAAGAGGCTGACAGACGGAACGAAAGTCGCCTTTGCGATTGACAGCCGATAAAGGTCAAATGCTGACCTTTTTCTTGACCCTTCTTCATCAGAG